ACTTGGAAACAGGAGGTATTTTGCTCCAGATAAGACAGAAGCAATAGGACATTACTGGAGAGGTGTTTATCAGTGGACCAGTGGGGTCTTTTTGTATTTTGCAGCTAATAAATTATTTCTGTTTGCAGCATCGCTTTTGGTGTCTGATGTCCTATGGCATGGCGGCCTGCTGGTTTGTACTGGGAACAAAAGGCCTGGCAACCATTTTCCTGAACGCCTTTATATTTTATCTGATAGCGCAGATAAAGATTCCACTGTTCACCTGGCTGAGCTCTGCCCTCATGCTCCTAATGTTACACAATGAGACTGTTGAACATACCCAGGTAAGTCATTTAGGTTCCACCTGTTTCCCCATCCATCAGTCCACCTACATTTTTATGTTTTTGCAGATTTAGGTGGAATATCTCATGTATTGTGGTAGAAACATTTAGAAATGTGAAAATTCTAGAGCAATACCAGTGTCAGATGGAGTTTTCCTGGTCACCGGAGTGTCAAAGGAAGATGACGTGCAATAGCTACTGTTGTCCACATGACTCCTTTACAGCTCCTGAGTCTGGACAATGCCATAGTTAGTAAGTGGACAGGAGTAGCTACTGCACGTCATCTCCCTTTGATGCACAGGCTGTTCGGAGGGCTCCATCTGCTGCTGGTATTTCTCTGAACCCTGCTGTAATTTAGCAGACGAGAGATCTGGCATGGCTTGGCGTTTGTTCTTTGATGACCGAACTGACAAATAATGGCAGAACCAGTATGACAGTGTACTCCTGTCAGGATGCACAGGAAGAAAGGGTGACAACACTGGTGAAAATTTGATGCCCATTTTCTAGCATTGTCACCCTGAATAACGTGCAACCAGGGCAGCATTACTGAGGTGATCAGAAGCCATGTAGCAGGCAACTGTCAAAATTGAATTAGTTTTTTTTTTTTAGGTGCCAAATCATAAAAAAAAGGATACAATTTACTATATCACAATATAAAACATACATAGAAAAGTAAGATATGCGACAAACATCATTCCCCCTATTCAGCAGAGTTACCTCTATTAGCCTCTATTATGTATCTATTATGTACCGCTTGGCCAGCTTCGGTTTCAGCGCAGCTCAGCCGAGCCGATGCATATGCGTTCGGCTCGACTGAGCCGCTCGGCCACGTTCGGGAGCTGTACGGGCTATTGTGAATAGCCCGTACAGCACCCCTTCAGTTTTACACATCAATACAGAAAGAAAAGGTACAAACTAGACTCACATATTGTCACACTTCCCTGTGTGATGATCCGGCGCCGGGTTTTACCTCCTGTCTGAGCTGCTTGGCTTCCTGCCAATCCACTCGGAACCTCTCCATTAAAAGTCCAGCTCACTTGTTCCGTGCCGTTCGAGCAACGTGTCTTTACACCCAGTCGGACTTCCTGTTTATTTCTTGCCTCTGTAATCCCTGCGGTTGCCCACCACCTACCTTGTCTCCTGTGAGTCTGGATTCCCTCTTCCTCACAGCGAGATCCTGTACGTCCTGCCTTGGATTGATCATCAGCTTCTTCAAGTGAGTCCTTGCACCTGTGCCTACTTGTGTGGCTGTGTATATGCTTCAACCCTGTCTACTTATGCATCCAGCACCTCGGTGCTGCAACTAATCTTTATGTCTGTGTGGGCATGCTAGAGGGCCGCAACCTGGAAGGTGTCCAGCAGCCAATCATCCTCACCATTAGAGGCTCTGTCGAACACCTGGCCCTTCTTAGAACCTGCGCCTCTAGTGCGTCCCTGTTAACGCACAGACACCATTTTTTGCACGCTACTTTTTGTCGTTTTGTGTGCCCCGGTCGCAGACCGTGACAGTTGGTCGCAGACCGTGACACATATTGCAATATAAAAGCTATCGATTTAAGCCGCATATACGTTATACGTTGAATGAAGGATCAGACATACATCAAATATAACATTCCCATCAACCCGTTCTCCCCCTGACACTAGGTATGATCTTAGAGGATACAGGGTAGGTGTCAACAGTATGGGTTAATGGAGGGGGCTTACATTCCTGCATCAGATGAATACCACAAATTCCAGGGCGCCCAATGCTTAGTGAATCTATCCAATGCTCTGCCAGGATGTGACAAAGCTCTTCATTGCCACAAATTTAAAAAAAATGTTTTACATTTGCAATGAAATTTGGTCTAACATTGTAATGAGAGGTGTGGTGCCTTGATCACTTATCAACCCAACCAAAACTGAATACATGTAGCAGGTAACTGAACAGATAAAATGTTTTAAACAAAGGACAGCTACCCATTTTCTGTAAGCCCCCTGGCTAAGATACCCACCCTGGTCCATTCACATGGTGGCCCCCAGCCATCCAATGGAGTAGAGACCATCTGTAGTAATCAATGAGGCTGTGGCATGCATGCACACTAGGAAACAGATTGCACTGCCAGAGTGTGTTCTGTCTGCCTGGCCCTTTCCAGCGTCTTCCATAGCCAGAACCCCTGTTCAATCACAGATAGCCTCAGCAGCACTGCCATAGAGGAAACCCCTGTCTGAATGCCTCTTCCATTTCTGGGCCAAACACGCACAATTGGACCACTCAATGGCTATAGAGAGCCTCATCCGAAATTGATTGTGTACCAAGTCATAAGAATACAGTATATGTGTTGCTTGCACATTGAAGAATAATGATCTTTTAGCTGTATATACTATTCTTTATGAAGTGCAAGCAATTTGTCTTTGCATTGCAAACCTGATTTCCAATTGGCTTCCTTCTGTATCATTTATTATAATTTCCTCCAGTGAATATAAGCTGTTTATATATGTTTTCAAGACCCGGACACATCTGTCTTTACTGTCAAATGTTACAAAGATTTCGTATCTACGTACAATGTAGCGTTTATGGAGAAGAAAGTGAATTGTGTTGTTATATAATTCTGTCCTAGCAACACAGTAAGAATGGCGTAGTAGAGCTCAGAGATGTAATCAGGCATCGCAGCAGTGCTTTTATAGCAGTACCTGTTATGTTGTAACCCACGAAGGATGAAATGAGCAACAGCAGTACATTGGCAGATAAAAGGTTGGCAACATTCTGGATTTAAATTTTGACATAAAAGAATTTATTTCCTGTGTGCTGCTAATGTACTGTATATTTTTGGGCCATAACAAAAAAAATTCTCTTATTCCCTAATTGTGGTCTGTTAATTATACAATTAAAGTGACACTAAACTCAACTTTTAACAAAACTGTGTCTTATTGGTGCATTGTGTAGATCCTCAAATCATCTCCGAATTTGTGCTGACACTGTCCCTCCTTCTGAAATTTGCATGTAGAGCTTGTGGCTTATACTTTATACACACATGCATTGCATGTGTATGTAAGTGCTGACTGGAAAGTCATCGCTCAGTAAATTCAGAGGACAGAGTAAAGTGAAATTTTCACTGATACCTGAAGTATGTTGAGCCATTTCTCATTCTTTATTCCCCGGTTGCCATGTGTCCCCATATGACCATATCAGCAGAGAGTGTTGTTTTGTAAGGATGCTGTCAACTTTTGAGGCTGAGAGATGAGATATCTCGAAGTATTGAATAGTTAAAGATATGATAGTTTCAGGACCACATAGGTAAATGTCTTTGACTCACAAACACTTGCTTCCATTGTCTTCCGAAGAATATAGGCGGTTGACTGTCACCAGTACTGAAATCTACCCAATTTGGCCACCTCAAAGTGAAGAAATATCTTACATTTTATGGTTGACACCAGAGCAAGAGTTGATGTAAAATCTCCCAGTGAGGACACTAGTTCTAACTGTCCAAGATGGGATTCCACATCTCTTTCTGCGAAATCTACCAAAAGGGGTTACATAGAACAATAAAAATTTGACAAAGGTTCAAATCTTTCCTCGAACAAAAACATTTTGGCTGAAGCTCCATTGATGCCGACATGACCCGAAACTAATCTTGTCTTGTTTTGTTTTGCAGCGTGGTTGGTATGGCACCGAGAACGAATTTTATCTCCTGCAGTTCACACTCACTGTACGCTGCCTTTTTTACACCAGTTTCTGCCTAGAATACAGTGCGCTCCAGGGAGCTTGCTACACCTTCCCATCAATGCTGGCCTATGTGTTTTATTACCCTTTATTCCACAATGGTCCTATCATTCCTTTCAATGACTTCTCTGAGCAGGTATGTATCTTTGTATGGTATGGTTTAGTATGCATGTTAATCAGTGGAACTTATCCACCATAGCTCATAATGACAAATCCTGTATTTCCTTTCACTGACCTATAATGTACTGTAATAAAGAATATCTTACCCACAAGAAGTCACACACACTATCTAAACATTGCACACTTTTTCCTACATTAGGGCTGCCTCCGCCCACCCATAAATGTTGTGCCCTGGAGACTCCCCCCTTCCTTCTACGTTATATTTTATGCTTTTTCTTAAGCTTACCATTTCCAGATGTCTTCACGCTGGTCACATGATGTTCAGGGTCCTCTCCCTCTTTGGATCTTCTCTGTCAGTGAGCAGTCCTTGATGCATCATTTTATGTGAGTGCGGGCCCTTTTGACCCCCCCCCCCCAACCCCCCAAGGGGCAGGTCCATGATTTCCTGCACTCACAGGATATCTTCAGTCTTCCAGGTTAAACAACGCTTTGTGTCATTGACAACTGAGGACATCTAGTGGCGGAAAGGAATTACTGTGGGTCACGGCGCCAAAGAGGATGGAAGTATTGCAGCCGGTCTTTAGTTTTAAATTTCCTTTTTTTTTTCTTACGTTAACTTGTCTTTAGAGAAATTGGGAGCGGGGGCGGCCATTTCTGACCTCTCCTGAAAATACTAGTTGCCTAGCTAGTATACAGAGTTACTGGTGTTAATATTTTTGGAATTACAGACCTGCAAGTATGCACATTAGGAAAGTTAGAGTAAAGTCAGAAGTCCTTACCTGCGTTCTTGTTCTTGTCAGTAGTACACAATATTAAAAATACAAAGGCACTAAGGCGGATAGGTGACTAGATCTTTCAGGAGACTAATAGCCATCTCGCTGTGTTTTCCTTAAAGTGACACTAAACTCAGGAGTTAAATCCTAAAAATGCTTTTCTTGTACCTGAACCATTACCAAAATTGTATCTTATTTGTGCATCACTCGGCTGTAGATCCTGAAATCATCTCTGAATTGGTGCTGACACTGTCCTTCCTTCTGAAGAGTGGCTACTTTTGTTCCCCATAGTCCCTGTGTGTGTTGTTAATTAGTCACCGCTCCAAGATCGCTCCCGTGATGGACTACAATCTCAATACAAATATGTAAACTAAACATGAGATTGTAGTCCATATACCGCAATATACCGTGATGGGTGGCAGTGAATGACGGGTTGAATATTATTACCGGTCACAATTAACAATTTAAACTAAATACTTTGTAAATTAATCCCTGTTCCCTCAATAATATTGGTCTGTGTGTAAGCGCAGATGCTGAGCTCGGCAAATTCGACTACATTGGCGTTCTCGACAGAACACCGGTATCTGCGTTTAGTATCGCGGCATTTTCACGAGTAGGAGTACTAGTGAAAATGCCCAGTATTAACACTGGTGTATCCCTACTTAAAAATATAATGCATTGCTGGGACTTGTAGACCTACATAGTTGGAGCTATTCTGCATTCTGCAACTGGATTGGACAGACCGGCTCCTGAATTCCATAATAATAAGTCGACCCCTCTTTTACACCATGCTTCATGTTATACCCATATTCAGTATATATCATGAACCAAGGGGTGATGCTTTTAATGGTATTTGAAAATGACATGACTGTGTGTGGCACTGCCAACACAGCCACTTCATATTCTCCGATCTTTTAATGGCAAACTACAAGTCCTGTCTACCAACGCAGCAGATGTCACGGCACTTTTAATTCATTCATTCTTCCTCCATCCCTGTTACTGAATGTCCGTGCCTCAGTACAGACAGGGAAGGGAGAGACAATCTTCAGGAGCCAGAGCATTGCACCCACGATCCACTTATCACTGCTGCAATGCTTTACTTGCTCCAATGTAAAAAAAAATAATAAATGCACATTTTTGCTTTTATGAATATATGTGCAGTTATAATTTTTTTTTATCACCTGCAGGTCTTTAGCAGATGAACTGGAAAAGGGAAGGCAGCACTCTGATTCAGTTGGTACCTACTGCAAAGCATAGTGCTGCCATGCAAACTCAGGGTTCCCAGCCTCCTTCCTAGCCTATCCTGACTTCCTATTTTATATCATAATATGTTCATATTAAAAGCTGATTTTGCAAGGTAATATCTGGTTTCCACACAACAGCATTATGCCTGTGTTTCCCATTTTTGCCTCCACTCACCAGTATTATGTGTGGCAATGTCTGTCCAAGTTAACCCTTTCTTGACCAGGGGTCAGTGAAGCATAGGTGACTAGACCAAATTTAGCAGCATCTTTATCCCAAGCATAGAAATGCTAAATTGGTTTTGGGGCCATTCACAGCTGCGTGTTGCTGTAATGTGGTTAAACGCGCGTCTTACTGCTGAAACTGCAGTATGGTTTGTTGCAGTGCCATACATTTTGAACTCACTCATGCACTGGCAAGCAACGTATCTGCACTGCAATGCACCCCAACACACCTTCCGTGCATGGATTTGGCTGATGATTGCAATGGTTTCTAATTGTATGTTAGCATATAGTTTATCTTCAAGGCTGTATCCGTTATGATTCTGAATACTTTGCTTTATAGACCATCATTCAGCTTCCTCTAAGGCTGCATTATGATTGGTGACGCAGCTTTGCACCTAAATTATAAATGATGTACGTTTTCCATGTGTGTTGCTATGACAAATAATTTTATATACGTTTCAGATGTGCCATAAATGAGTGTGGGTGTTTTGATCCATGGTGAGAGATAATTTTGTGATGTGTCATATTATAATATATGGATGCAGCTGGGGTGGACTGGCTGTGCTCATACTGAAGCCTCTTAAAGGAGAACTTTTCTAAAACAAATGTGTAGGCTGCCATTGCTGTCCTAAGTTATCAAGCTGGAGTCCCCTCTGTAACAATTTATATCAGCTGTAGATCTGTTATTTTTCCACTTTCTTTAACAAGATAACAAGTATGAGCATAGCACACGTGCACTTTATGGCAGATTTAATGTACGGTACACTCCTAGTGTGCTCTCTTCCAGCACTGACAGATCCACAATCACTGTTATTGCTACAACCATCTTCTCTTACATTTCTTCGCGACCAGCTTTTTGATACTTTGGCCATGTATGGCCACTGATGCAACTCCTGCACAAGCACACTAGAGTTACAAGGTTCCAGCATACAGATGCCAGGACTGGACCAAGAACATACACTGATCATGCAGCACTGCAGGTACATATAAAAAAATTGCTAGCAAAAAGGGGAAAGATTTTTTGAGCAAAGTCTTTTCTATCCCAAAAACACTATTTCCTAGTAGTTGCAATTTAAAGGGACACTAACCAAGGAGTTAAATCTTAAAAATGCATTCAAGTACCCTAACTGTTAACAAAAATCTTATTAGTGTATCACTCGGCTGTAGATCCTCAGATCATCATGAATTCATGATGCCACTGTCCTTCCTTCTGGAGGGTGGCTACTTTTGTTCCCCATGGTCCCTGTGTGGGTTGTAAAGTAGGCACTGCTCCAAGCTCACTCCTGTGATGGACTACAGTCTTTACTAACCTGAATTGAAGTTATAGTCTATCACAGGAGTGAGCTTGGAGCGGTGACTACTTTACAACACACACAAGGGCCACGGGGGAACAAATGTAGCCCCCCTCCAGAAGGAAGGACAGTGGCATCATGAATTCATGATGATCTGAGGATCTACAGCCGAGTGATACACTAATAAGATACATTTTTGTTAATAGTTAAGGTACTTGAATGGGAGAATCAGTTTTTTTATATATATTTCCAGTTTCTGAGGTATGAAGTTCAGCTTTGAGTAAAGTGGCCTAAAGTCAGATATAAGTAGGGTTAATTGGGCACAGCGATTCCGTATCATCATATTCTAGTCACATATGCTGCGCGGCCTTTTGCCGACGTGCAGCCATTCTGAGAGGCTTGCATATTAATGATGTTATATGTTTTGATCCCAGAACAAGTGTTTACATAAAAAGAATTAAAATGTCACCGGCGCTGTTAATGAAGGTTATAACTTGTCTGTGCTGCATCTGCTTAAAGCTGATCTCTCTGTGCTTGCTGTTTGCCCCGCCGCTGCCTTTGTTCACGTATTATAGTTAGATATGTTAATTCTGTTGTTTCCGAGCTTCAGTTAGATGTTCTTTCACATCGCATCCAATAATTAGAATTTGCATGTATGAAGATTATTAGGGATCTGATTTACGATGTCTGAACTTTGAGGTGAAAAGCCACATTAAAGATCAACATTCCTCTAATGAATTCTAATATGTTAAGTTGGAGCAAGAGCACAGATTTGGGTCTGGAGGGAAATTTTGTGGAAAAAAAACTAGGCTAATGTTATTCATGGTTGTGTAAATTAAAACAAAAAATATTGGTGGCATTAAAAAAAGACGCATGTCCATTGAGTTCAAAGAAAAGAAACACAAAAGAACACCTTGCTTTCTCAGAAGCCAAAATTCACAGGTGACCTTTCCAAAAGTATGGTCCACTGTGCTTAAGGCCTAATTCACATCCATATATTTAGCTGCGATTAGGGATTCCTGCCTCAGGAGGCATGATCGATGCGTTCAGGGAGAGTGATTGATTCCTAACCCCATGTAATCCTATCACATACATTTACATGCGGTATGCCGGCATTCAAATGCAGCCGCTGTCACCCGATCATTAACTTGAATGGGTGACAACTGCCACTTGTAAACGGCAGATTAGGGATTCCTTCTACAGGAAATCTCAAGTTCCAGACGCAGGAATCCCTAATCGCACCTAAAGATAAAGCCGTGAATGGGGCCTTAAGTGTATGTAAACTTTAAAATAATAAAATAGTAAACTCATTCCAATGGCATCATCCTTTCTTCTTATTTTTTTCTATCTTTGTTTTTGTAACTTGCCAGTATCTTCACTTTCTCTCCTAGGGTGACAATGCATCCTCCGGAGTAGCATCCTAAGCAGAAGCGCTGTTACCTTAAGAGGCATGCACCCAGTACAGCAAAATTGTAGAGATGTCACCAGCACACCAGTCCAGTGCGTTCATCTCACAGTTCAGTAACATGAACGCACTGGATCGCATAAGCAAAGCTTCCCTCCGTTTTGGGGTAGGAGGGTGCATGGTGGTGTCATTCATTTCAATAACACCGCAGACACACCTCCCGCCCTCAGTACAATAGCCCGCACTGGAATGAGTGGTACAACAATGCCCTCCATTCCAGTATGGTTCTATTGCAAAATGTTGTGCATGCACTATTTTTTGTGATAGGATTGCACTGGAATGCAGGGCATTGCCGTACCATGTGTTCCGGTGCAGGGCGGGAGGCATGCCTGCGGTGCCATTGAAATGAATTGCACCAACACCCCCCTCCCACCATCAGAACGCGGGATGGTGTGAACGGCAACTTAAAACAGATCTTTCAGAAGAATGTGATGTCATTTTATTTTGACCGGACCCCTTCCCTCTGAAAAATCACCGGCCTGGTGTAAAATATCCCTATAAAGAAAACAGTTAGATTTATACTTACCTTACCCCCATCATCCACCTGCTATGTCTAGGTGAGGGTGAAGGTTGTACTCCTTCGGACTAGATCCTGGGGAATACAGAGTAGCAAAATCTCCAAAAAAGATGCTCTTGCAATGGACTGCTCGCAAGATTTGACCTGCTCTGCATTGCCCAGGAATTTTCCCATAAGGATGGTGACACCGTGGTCAGAGATGTGGAAGGGAAATATACATTACTAGCTAGATATAAAACAGTTTGTTTATCACTATGTGCTGATGAACCTCCCCACCTCAGATGTCCATCTGTATTGTTTCATTTAGAAAGGAGGAGAAGTTATACCATAAAAATTTCAATCCTTGAATGAGCTTTGGTGTTCACAATTAGACTGCTAGAGACCTCAATAGGAGGAGTAGAGAACCTTTAGAACATAGAGTCTCAGGTTAAGGTGTTAGCAATTGCAGAATGAAAAAACTAAGTTTAAGGCAGGTGGATTATGTTCCCTGTGTGTATTTACATGCTTGTTTGACCTGACTGTCCCTATAAATTGAGCCTATGAAACCAAATCTGACTTTTCAAATCTGCTCCCACCTTTTGTTAAAATTTCAGATGCAGAAACAAGATACGGAATGGAGAAACATTCGTTATCCTGGATTATTTGCAGACGTGTTGCGTTTTATGCTGTGGTGGTGCCTGGCAGAGCTGATGATCCATTTGATGTATATGCATGCAATGTATAGCCATTACCCTGTTCTTGAAGAAGCCTCATACTGGACTCTTGGTGAGTGAGATACAATATTTTACAGTATTCTGCCTCAAAAGGATAATTAGCTTGAAGCAGTATTAAAGTGACCCTAAACTCAGGAGTTAAAACTTAACAAATTAATTAACCCCTTCGTGACGGGAGACGTACAGTGTACGTCCTGTCACTTTGTGCCTATATGACTGGCCACGTACACTGTACGTGACGAGTTATATCAGGCTTTGTAATGCCGGTATTTGCCAGTCATTCATTAATGTCTCAGTATTGAGGCATTAATTAATGAAATAATTAAGCTTTTTGTAAAAGCTTCTTCCTTTCATTAATGAAAGAATGAAGCCGTTACATGCAAATAGAGGACCGCAATTTGCGATCCCGTATTTGACAGCTCAAAATAGCAGAGAGGCAGCAGTGACTCACCTCACCTCTCTGCTATTTGTTTTGACAGCTCGAAAGCCCGATGTTTAGATACATTTCACTCAAAAGATACAATGTATATCTTTTGAGTGAAATGTATCAGTTCTGATCGTCTAGGCACGATCAAAGAGCTTTTAGTGAGATCTGAATCTGACTAAAGTCAGGATCAGTCTCTAAGGTTATTATTAGCTGTTCCTAAGTTTGGATCAGCCTAATAGCCAAAAATAAAATAAAAAAAGTTAATTTATCAAGCTGTCATAGTGATTGCTTGATATAAACTGACAAGAAAAAAAAAAGTTTTTTTTTTATATTTTTATTTTTTTTACAAAGTGTAAAAAAATTAAAATAAAGTGTAAAACAAAATTAGGAAAATATAAATTATATATAAATATATTTTTTATACTATAATATAAAAAAATTCTAAAAAAAATAAATATTTTTTTTAATATATGTTTTCTTCTAGTTTTTTTCCTCATTTGTTTTATTTTATTCAAACTAAGTGAGGTGTTAGGTACACATATGTGATATAGTTATATAGCCCTATCTGTCCTCTAAAAAACTATATATAATATGTGTGGGTACATTTAGTAAGAAAGTATATTACTGCTGTGGAAGAATCACACAGCAAAAATTTAAAAAATGTGTCAGTCATTTATGAACAGAACCTGAAAACTAGCTCAGTCATGAAGGGGTTAATGGACCTTAACTATTAACAAAAATGTATCTTATTTTTGTGTCACTCAGCTGTAGATCCTCAAATCATCTCTGAATTGGTGCTGACACTGCCCTTCCTTCTGGAGGGTGGCTACTTTTGTTCCCCATGGTCCCTGTGTGTGTTGTAATGTAGTCACCGCTTCAAGCACGCTCCTATGATGGACTACAATCTCATATTTCATTTTCTAATTTGTATTGAGATTGTAGTCTGTCACGAGAGCGAGCTTGGGGCGGTGGCTACTTTACAACACAGGGACCATGGGGAACAATGGCAGCCACTATATTTATCTTGGCAAAGGTTTACTTGATGCTGCATCTCTCACTTTCTAGTCAGTTCAACATAGGACTATACAGAAAACTCACTTTGACTGCTTACAGTGGTTGCTCACTGAAAATGGTGGGGGAGGAAGGCTTGAGAGAGACAAGAGCCCTGTGAAAGCCAAGGAATGATTAAAGACTTGACATGGGAAGATGATTTTGAGTGATGTTTGCTTTAAAGAACAATTGAACTGCTAGTTAAAACCAGCTAAGTACACTCCACTGTCTTACAGTTTGTTTTCTTTCTAAAGCCATGATAACGTTAATAAAAAAACTTGTTCCCTGTCAGTATATTGCAAAGAGACCTTGCTTTCTGTGAGGAAGCAGTGGTCTCTTTGCTGAGGTCTTATAACTCCCAGCTGAATCAGAGCCAGAGCTCTTAAGTCAAGAGGGAGCATGAGGTTTGCTGATTGCAGATCTAAAGGTGTTATTCAGCAGGGAGCATGTTAAACTTCTGCAGAGAGAGACTACTGCTTCCCCACAGAGAGCAAGTGTCGGCAGGGAATGGGATTTTCTACTCAGGCTCTAACTGCTATAGAAAGAAAACAAACTGTAAGACATTGAACACCTTTTGTTTTATGGCTTCCAAAATGTACTTAACTGAACTAACAGTACAGTTGGGCTTTCAAGTGTACCTGATGTGCCCTAAAACATATATGAGGTAAGAACAAAGCTGAACCTTGGCATTTTTAGTCCCTGTTGATACTATTTGTAGTCTTGAATAATAAATCCTTGTGGAGCCCCTTGAATGATATTTAAGATTAAGCCCTACCCCATCTTGATGCTAAAACTGGCTTCTGTTCCTAAAATGCTAGCATCTCAAATACATACTGAGGCTCTGACATTTAGAAAAATATTGTATGACTTCTATATATCTCAGGTTTTGTGGACGTTTCTGCAAAATGCAGAAGTTGTATAAGCTATGTCGTCTAGAATCGTATACTAGCGGAAGGGGGGCATTAGCATTAGCTTCCCTCCTATTGCAAGAAAGGGAGGTAAAGGTGTTTATTTCAAAACCGGATCCTGTTTTTGGGTGAACTGGAGTTCTTCTTTAATATGCTGTTGTGTATGAGGTGACAGGGCAACTTTAAAAGATAATTCACCTCTTTTAATATGCGATGCGGTGATGATAGTTTATGGCAAAATTTAATTTTGAGAATAGCGGATTGGAAGCAGAAATCTGTCTTTTCTAGGATTAATAAGCAAAGAGCTGCAGATTATTGTGTCTGTAAAAGTAATGTGGCTGTACGGTTCACTTACAGGAGTGCTCAGTCAACTTTTAAACAGTGATCTCTGCGCTGAAATCTCACCCTAAATTATGCAGCACTGATTAATGCTGGAATTACTCAACTAAAGAGCTGGAAGGAGATAAATCACTGGCATTCCTTGTTGTTGTGATCATTTGTACCTAAGGAGTAAAACTGCATGCAAGTCTGGGATTTATGAGAAAACCCAAAGGAGCAATTGCAGTCAAATTTATTAAAGCCCAACTCCGGGTACTGTGTGCTTTCCTGAAGCCTCCTATTACCGCTGTGTTTAGATTCCCTGGAAAGAACAGCAGGAGCTGTATTTCTGGCTCCCTGCTGTATCAGAGAGGCTTCTATGACAGATACCAATGCTGATGTCCTGTCTCTACCCCCACTGTGTGCTTTGCTATTCACAAAGGGAAGTGAAAGGAAAATGTTTTGCTGGTTTGGAGAGAACTTGATTGCACAAGCTGCATCCCAGAGTGGGCTAGATCTTGACATAAGGATACCTCAGCCAGTGAAATATTAGGAACGTTAATGCCCAACTGAAGTCTCACACCGTTCTTTTAATCTCTTTGTAGTCGTTTTTTTTTTTTATACTTATCTTCACTTAGAAATGCCTTAAGGGCCGGTTAACACCACAAACAGTGCATTCAGAAGTGGACAGCCTCTGGAACGCACTGTATCGCAACATGTTTGATCGCCTGCACCTGAACCCATGGCACATTTGTGCCTGCATTTCGGCCCAGTGTGATCTGCAAAAATGCTGCAAGCACTATTTTTGCAGATGCCACTGGACCGGAACGCAGGCACTGATGTGCCACGCGTTCAGGTGCAGGCGGGATGGGCGTGCCATTGACTTCAATGCACTACCATGCCCCCTCCCGCCCCTGAATGCAGGGAGCCCGCTGGGTTGCAATACAGTGCGTACCAAAGGCTGTCCACTCTGGAATGCACTGTTTGTGGTGTGAACCGACCCTATAGGCTAAATATAGCAGACATATTGAGAGGAATTAATCAAAACTGGAGCAGATATAATCTGAAACAGTTGTGCATGGCAATCAATCACATTCTACCTTTTATTTTTAAAGCTTAACTGAACAAACTGAGGAGAGAAGCTGATTGGTTACTATAGGCAACTGCTCCAGAATCTGTCTACTCCAGTTTTGATAAATTCCCCCCATTGTACTCTGGCAACTGTGGTATACTGACAGGATTAACAGATTATAAACCTATGTTGCAGGTGTTAACAAAAACTGCTGTGTATTGCATTGCAATATGCATGCAATTTTTGCTTTAACTCTAAGATCTACTTTAAAATAAATTGTAAGAGGCACTTTCTGCCTTCCTACTCCAGTGCTCTATGCTTGCTGATAAATAGCAGGCACAAGCCTCATCATGGACGTCTTGCGGAGAAAGAAAGGGGCCTTGCTGACCAGGTCATTTAGAACGTACTGGCAGTGTGGTCACAAACTGGTGCCTACTGAACTGCACAGCCATATTCAGACACACTGTTCCAGCTAGAAAGTAAAGGGCAAACTATGTAAATTAAGGTGATAAGTATAATGTTTATCTGTGACCTCAGGTGGGCTTTAAACCTTGCTTCCAATATTCTGAATGTTGATATACAACAATAGAAAAAAAAGCACCAGCACAAGTGGGATTGTACAGCCATGAGTTAAAAGGGATTCAGCTAAACTTAGGCTTCAGGCAGCAAAAGATCAGCAGGATGATATGAGATGATATTGAGGACAGAGAAGGAAGATGTATAGTTACTGCTAGACAGAGGAGAGAAGTTCTGGTTCCAATGCCAGGCAAACAGCCTGCGGCCCACAGCACACATAATCTGCTGCTGCCCTCTGCTACCAGAACATAACACAGTAGGACACGAGCTTCACATAGGCGAACATACAGGGATTTCTCTTATTACTTGATTCATTTAAAAACATTCAAAATGCTTGGCACACTTCAGGGGATCAATGACTGCAAGCAATTCTTATACACTGTGTCTCAGTAAACACACAGATGTACTCACTAACAAAGTTATAGCCTTTAGAATGTTTGGTTTCATAGAATTTTACCATTGCTCGATCTGACAATGAGAGCACAATCCCTGCAATTCATAAGCACTCCTTCTCGTTCATGCAACAAATGGCGCAATTTGTGACAGATTAATGTAACTGTCAGCAAGGTCTATATGCATCTGTTGCAGATTATCCTAATACAGAATCTTGTCTCTGGGCTTGTTTCCAGCATCACCAGACCATAATGTTTTTTAAGCGCACCAGAAACGCATCCCCATGTATTCCTATGGTATTTTAGGGC